GGGGCGGGGGGGGTGGTTGTGGGTGGTGGTGGGGGGGGTGGGTTTAGGGGGGGTGGTGCGTGTGTTCGGCGGAGGGGCTGTGGGTGGGTGGGTGGGTGGGTGGTTTTAAGGTTTTGCATCCTGTGCTACAGAATGACATTCCTGGTCCAAAAACACACCATCACGCACAGTCTGTGCAGGCGATGCGCTGAAAAACGCACTTCTGCTCATATCCCTTTAATTTTCGAGCAGCACTGGCCATCACACAGAACCACTTGCGGTCAAATCAAGTGGCCCTCCAGTGCACACCTCTGCCGCCTCCCCCAAAAAAGAACAACGACCCCAACAGCTGAAGCGCGTCTTGACTGATCCCATTAGATTTGACCTCCCAGATGTATCATTGCAATCAAATGAAACATTCCTTGGCCACGTTCCTTCCTGCCCAGCCCTTCGATCATCCACTCTTCTCGTCGCCCTGTCGTTCGGCCCACCAAAGCCAGCCCGACGAGACGCGCCGGAATTCATCGATCGACCGAGCCACTGCGATTGGTGTTTGATGTGCACCTCCAGCAAGAGCTTGGCTCGCTGCGTGGCCTCGTGGATGCGCCGGTCCGAACTGACGGCTTTCGCCGGAACCCTTTCGTCCGGGCCACGAGCATCGTTGGGAAGAGGTACGCCTTCGATGCGCTGATGAAAAATACTTGGATCAAGGAGGCTGATTGATTGACTTGATTGATTTGATGGATTGGTTGTTTGGTTGTTTGCTTGCTTGCTTGCTCGGTCGGTTGCTTGCTCTCTTGCTCCAGAAAGCCGATATAGACCGCAATCCAGCGAGTGCATCATCGTTGTGCGGTGACCGTCGACTGTGGTGCAAGTTGGAAATCACAGAGAGGGGGAAAAAGCAGGAAAGGCTTAACACACACGACCCAATGTAATACAACCTAGAGGCACGGGAAGGTCTCCTAAGGGTTGTGGAACCTGAAGATATTCCATTTGGTGTCCATCAACAGTGCGCATGTCTTCTCCCTGCACAGTAAACACCACCAAACTGAACTGGTGGGTCCAGCGTTTCAATCACCGGAGGTGATGTACAACACTCAAGTCTTTTTGGATGAGTACCATCAGAAAACAAGAGTGAACCATGTATATATATATATATATACATCATGATAGTTATTTTAGTACAGAAACCGGCTGGACTTGTCATCTGGGGTTGTCATGCAATTGGAAGACCCAACCTCCGTGCGGTGCCTGCCGCACCAACAAAAAAAAAGAGAGCATGATGACCCTGTTATACCAGGTCAGTGCCAGAAAAACACGGCAGAAACGCGTATTGTCCACATCCCGACCACTTGAAATCCCCCAAACCATGGCAGGTGGACCTCCCTGGAAACCTTTCTGTTCGGTACATCAACCCACCAAGTGACCCAACCATTCACTGCTGGGACTGCCGGTCAGGCACCCGCACTTCTGCTGATTTTGGTGTCCACTGGCTGCATGATTAGGACTACCGACGTTCAGTTAATCTTGAGATTCTGCTAGGTAGTGTATTCCCCAGAAGGGGATTTTCCGAGAAACAAAGATCGTTCTATATAAAGCAAGACAACACAAAATCGATCAAACAGTTGAACAATTGCAGTAGAGCACAATGTCTGTCTACTCGGGGACCACCCCAAACAAATGTTTTCGCCACCCCAAACAAATGTTTTCGCCACTGCAGTCTTGACAGGT